CACACAGAAGAAGGCAATGGCAAACCACTTCTGATCATCTCTGCCAAGAATGTATATATGTATGAGCAGGTCCCTGACAACCTGAAGAGGTTGGAAGGATCCTGTTCATAATATATGGACCTGTCGTCAGACAGAACACTACAAATAAAAAAAAATATCACAATATAAAAACAGTGGATAATTTTGTAACTGGGCAGTAGATTGATCGAGCTACTTTATCCAGGAAAAACAAATTATTTAACATGACTGTCCATGATGTGAGATTTGAAAAGTAGTTAATGTCTGCATGGTGGAGAAAGCTGAGTGACCTTGATGGGGTAATTGTGTAAAACTGCTCCAACGAACTTGTGAAGCTAAGAAGTCTTTGTTGAGCGGCGAAGCTGGACGGCTGCGTTAACGAGCCGGCTGTGGTGACACCGCAACCGAGACTGTACAAGTCCTTCTAACAGTTACGCGAGCATGCTTGAAATAAAATATACATCGAATCGGAAGAAAAATATGAAGTTGTCATAACTGAACAGTCTAGTTAACTGTGATTCATAGTCATCCCATATCACGTCATATCAAGATCTACTCTCCTACCATCATATATTCAAAGTTACTCCACCTAACAACCCACTAAGAGAATGGCCCATGGGATTAAGACGTGCCTTCGGGATGTGTTCGTATCAATGCTTCTTTTCTAGCTTTACGCCAGCTTTCCTGCATATGTTAAAACGTAACTGATTATTATTATTTTAGTTTTATTTTGTATACTTAGTAAGAATAACACATTTTAGAAGAGTGTTATTAAAATGTTACATTTAAGTTATGTGATCAATTCATTATTTCGGTTATTTTAAATATTTATATATTTTAGTAAGTATTATTAGTAAATGATTTGCAATACTTAAATAAGAATAATCCATGCTGCGACTTCTACTGTCAGCAGATGGAATGTTTCTCGTACCCTTGTTCTATCATCGTAGAGGACTTCTTCAATCACTGTAACAGCTGTTACATAGAAGTGACCAGCTTCAGAAATATTCTGAGTCACATTTATTCTTCCATTCTCAGGATCTATAAAAAGGCTGTCGCTTAGAGATCCTGAAAAAAAAGAAACATCATAACTGCAGAAGCACCTTCAAATAAAGCAGATCTGACAATATGACAGATATAACTCATATATTTCCAGAAGTTTCAAAACTATGTTTGTGAACCCCACAAGACACACAAATTTCGTCACAGTCTTTGCAAGAAGAAAGTACTGGCGTCTTTTATGTTCAAGTCTCATTCTAAAAATATAAATATATAGTTGTTTTTAATAATTTATTTGTGGATTATTTAACAATACTGTCAACAGGTCAGATTAGACAGCGCTGAATGACAGGATGATAAGCGAATAACAAATTGGAACGGATGTGAAAGGAAGCAGAAACAGCCTAATTTATAACTGATCTGTCCACCTACTTTGAGGTCTCCCTAAATCCCATCTTGTTTGGTTTGCCCATTATTTAAAAAATGATTTACAGAACTACCATTATCCATACTTTGAACGTAATTATTACATTTGTGTCTTGAAGGTTAAGCTTGTCTAAAAAATATTTAGAATTTAGTCTGTACCGAAAAGAAAACACAGGACTTCACCATTACAAAGATCGACTTGCTAACGCTGTTTTAGGAAATAATCACTGTTTACAGTGAGAATAATACAAAATCAATAAATGCAAAATGAAGAGTAATTGGTTTTTAAAGTAGGTGGGGAAATATAGTTACCATTGAGCTTTGAGGGGTTAATCTATTTATTCAATTCAAAAATGTTTAATCTTCCCCTTACATGTTATGTTGTCTGTCAAAAACAACACCCCCATCAATATGTCCAAGGGCCAAGATTTGAACCCGGGACATCCCGAATACAAAGTAGGAATGCTAACCACTTGGCCATGATGTTCAGTGGGACTTACGTAAATGCTGCATAACTCAATGAGGGTGTTTCAGACCAGGATGCTCAGGAGAATATTTCGAACTAAGGATGCAGTGATGGGAGGTTTGAAAAAACCTACATAAAGAGAAGTTCCATAGTTTGTACTCCTTGCCAATGCTTTTTTCAGGTGATGTAATCAAAGAGTATAAAATGGCAGGGCATGTAGAAAGTATGGGACAGATGAGAAATGCATTACACACTTTACTTGGAATGCTTGAAGAGAAGAAACCAACTGGAAAACCTAGAAATATTAAGATATTAATACAGTGAAACCTCTATCCATCGGTCCCGGAACTATCGTTTTCCCGGATGCATCGTCCGTTTTGTTCGGTCCCGAATACATCCCATATAAAATAATGTTACATTTTCCCGCTTCTATCGTTCCTCGAACTATCGTTTTATCGCATCGATCCTTAAAAAATCTTAGTCCCAGCACACAATTTTCCCGCAATGATCGTTTCTGAGAAATTGTAACGAAATTTACGTGATATTTTTAGAATTTAATTCCGAAAGACGCACAATGTTTTTGGAATAAACAGTAGCGGTAACCTGTTATGTCGCCCAACCAGCACATTCTTTTGGAATGAGGGTCAGCGGTGCAGGGGTGATATTGGAGTGAATGGCGGTGCTCATTGTCAGAAATTTTACGATTTTAATTAGGGTGCACTCATATTTCGTTCCAGCGATGCCAGATGGCATGTGCAGTGTGAATTTCTTCACAAATGCTTTTATTACAAGTACAAAGGAAAGGCGAAAGTGCTGCTGTGGATGTGGAAATAACGGAGCTGTGGCTCGAGAGACTGCCAACACTGCTGGAGGGATATGAGCCGCGGGACATTTATAATGCGGATGAGACCGGACTTTTCTACAACGCCCTCCCGGATAGGACTCTGGCATTGAAAGGTGAATCTTGCCACGGGGGAATACGTGCAAAACACCGAATTACTGTTCTTCTGTGTGTTAACAGTGACGGTAGTGACAAACGGGTTCCGATTGTAGTTGGAAAATCACGAAAACCGCGTTGTTTCAAAAACATGAAAAAACTTCCGGTGAAATATCACGCCAACAAAAAGGCTTGGATGACAACAGACATCTTTACGGCGTTTTTAAGTTCTCTGGATGCCTCCATGGGCGCACAAGGCAGAAAGATTTTGCTGTTTGTTGATAATTGTGCCGCTCATCCGAAGGACACGACATTTCTACGAAATGTGAAAGTCGTGCAGTATCCAGCAAATTGCACGAGCGTCTTGCAACCGCTTGATTTGGGCATCATAAAATCTTTCAAGCAGTTGTATAGAAAGCGCCTTATGCAAACAGCTGTATGTGCATTGGATGCTGGGAAGGATGTCAACATGAAAATTGACGTGCTACAAGCAATTCATTTCACAGTGGCAGCTTGGCGGCATGTCTCCCAACCAACTGTTCTGAATTGTTTTCACAAAGGTGGCTACGGGTGTGAACTTCGCACAGAAGCAGACTCTAACGTCAGTGTGGATGAGCATGATGGCTTTCACGAAGACTGGAATAGATTTGGCGCCGTGAAAGACGTGGTTAAATTTGGTGACTACGCGGCAGTGGACAGCGAGCTTGCTAAATACATGCGGAGTCGACACGATTGATAAGTTGTGTGACGATCGCGAAGGGGGTGGGAGCGGTGAGGAAGACGACGAATGCGAGCCCGAAGCTGTGCCGAGTTTTGCCGAAGCACACGCTGCATTGGCAAAAGTGAAGTCGTTCTTTTATGCCCATAATATTAGCGAACGTGACGAGGAAAACATTTTGAACGTGGAAAGTACTCTGTTTGGTCTAAAACGTAAAGTTTCGACAAACCAGTTGTCCATTAAAGACTTTTTTGGTAAAAAGAAGTAACTTTGAAAGAGAAACATTGTTTTTTTTAAAATTTTTAATGCTTTCCCGCATCTATCGTTTTCCCGCATCTATCGTTTTTATTCCCCCCCCCCGCCGAAAACGATGCATCGAGGTTTCACTGTAACGTATTTCAAAATACCTGAACATGACTAATTATCCATGCTATGAAGACAAAAAGTAATTAATAATTTAACGTATCATTTAACAAGTGACAATGAATATGTGTCGCTGACTTGAATGTGTGGTTAGTGCTCCTATTTCACATTTGGGAGGTCATGGGTTCACATCTTAGCTCAGAGACTGGGCATCTTAGTATAAAACGAGAAAATCTACATATGTGGCAGTATCTTATTTAAAAAAAGCAACTTCACAGCTTCCAAACAGTGCCATACGATCTTCTT